AGATTCAGCCTGTGAGCTGAAGTTGTTTGTTCTCAGATCGAAGGACTCCCTTTAATAATTCTTGTAAGTTTGGTTTGGTTTTTACATATTCTCTTAATTTCTGTTTATCTGGAAATGTCCTAATTTCACCATCATATTTGAATGAGAGTTTTGCAGGATGTATTATTCTTGTCTGGCAATTTTTTTTTTCTTTCATGGTTTTATATATGTCATCCCATTGTCTTCTTGCCTGCATGGTTTCTGCGGGATAATCCGAGTTTAGTCTTATTGTTTCTCCTCTGTATGTGACTTTTTGTTTTTCTTGAGTTGCTCTATGATTCTTTGGATTTAGTGACTGTGATTATGATATGCCTTGGTGATTTTCTTTTGGGGTCTATCCTATATGGTGTTTGTTGAACTTCTTGGATGGTCAGCTTTTCTTCTCTCATGATATTGGGGAAGTTTTGTGTCAGCAGTTCTTCAGTGATCTTTTCTGTGTTTTCTGTTTTCTCCTCGATCACTCACAAATTTTTACTTTTGATTGTTTCCCACATAATTCTCAGGGTTTCTTCATTTTTCTTTGTTCTTTTTTTCTGATTTGTCCTCAGAGTTGTATCCAAGTGTTTGTCTTTGATTTCACTGATCCTGTCTTCCATTGTTTTAAACCTGCTCTTCAGCCCTTCTGTGACAATGTCCATTTCTGAAATCTTATTATCTTTTGGATTTCTAATTGTTGTTTTTGTATGATTTCTAGTTGTGAATTTATTTTGGCATTTTGTTCCTGCATTATTTTCCTGAATTCTTCCATTTTTTTGTCTGTATTTTCCATTAATTTGTCTGCCTTTTCCATGAATTTGTCTATTTTTTCCTCATTTTTGTCTGCTTTTTGCTTAAACTCTTGGTTAGCTCTGAGTATTAGAGATCTGAATTCCCTATCAGGTAGTTCTAGTGCATTTTCTTCTACTGGAAAGTCATCTAGTGTTTTATTTTGGATGCCTACTGGAACCATCCTTTCTTGTTTTTGCATATGTTTTGATATTGTCTGCTGTCTTTGGGACATTCATTAGTTATTTTCCTCATTTATTGTTTGCACATTTGTTTGTTTCGTCCTGCTTTTTTGTTTCATTTGGTTATGTCTGAGCAGACAGGCTGTGCATTTTTTGTTGTTTGCTCATCTGTAGGCACGATATTTTTCGCCTCCTTCTCCAATTGGCAGGGTCAGTCACTCAGACATGGTACAGCCGGGCAGGTCCAGCTGAAGGGGTGTTGCTGGGATGGGTTGTTTGTGGCACATACTAGGGCCTACAGGGTGGGCTGGGAATCAGTGTAGGGCAGGTTCCAGAAGGCCATGCCTGTGCTGCTTAGGGGTATGATGTTCAGCGCATGGTGCAGGTAGGCAGGAAGGCGGGGGTGGGGGGGAGATTGTGATGTGTGGAGCTAAGACGGGTATGGGAAAGAGGAAAGAGGAATAGGAGCCAAAAACATACAAACTAAAAAGAGTGCTAAGAGAGCTTGCCATTGGAGTGGAGAGATGAGAGACTAAGAAATGGAGGAAAATAGAAAGGAAAGAAAAAGGGTAGAAGAAAAAAATGAATAAATAAAAATTAGAAAAAAGAAAGAAAGAAAAGTCTCCAGGGATCCCACTGTTGTGGCTGCGAGCACTGTGGAAGTTGCTCCAAGGCCGTGAAGTACAGCCTGGTTAGAAGGGGTAGAGGTGTCACACAGCACGAGGTATTCAGGAGACAGGAAGAAAAGGTCAGTATAGAGAGACAAGAAACTGACAAATGAAGAAAGATAAAAAGGGAAAAAGAGAGAGAAGAAAACAGAACAAATAAACAACCAAAAGAACAAAACCCCAAAGATAGAAAAACAAGAAAAAGAAATGCCCCCAGGGATCCTATTGCATGTCGGTGCAGAGTAAGGGAGTAGCTCCTAAGCTGCACAGTACTGCCTGACTAGAAGGGGCTCCCAAGCTGAGAAATGAAAAAGAAAACAAACAACAAAAAAGCCCCGGGGATCCCACCAGTGTGGCGGGATGGGCCAGGAAGCAGTTTCACAGTCAAGCGGTGATTCTCAGCCTTTCAGGAAGAAGATGGCACACGGAGCCAGGTATTTGAGAGAAAGGACGGCTAGGTGGTGAGAGGTAATGAAGAAATCCAAAGAAGTGGCAAATAGCAACACCAGCAGCCAATAAATGGCACTCAGGGAGCTGGCCAGTGTGGGCGGGTGGAATCCAAGCAGCACTGGGGTGAAGCTTGTGCTTCCTGCCCAAGAGACTGTGGCTGCAGGAAGCAGAGGAGGCCGAATGGGGGTGAAGAAGGGTAGGGGGTGGGAAAGCTTATGTCTCAGGTTACCAGTTGTTCTATCTCCTGCTGGAGGCTCTGTGAAGCTGCTTTCTCATACTCCCTGTTTGCCAATCTCCGATAGGAGTCCAAGATGGCAGATCTGTGCTGTGTTAGCCAATAGGGGACCTATGCATGTATCTCTTCTTGCTCTCTGTTCTCTATCAGTTTCTTATTCCTTTCAGTGCTTGGCTGAGTTCTTTATCTCTTTATTCGATGCTTAGGGTTTCAGGATTGATATCTGTTTGACTTAGTTTTTAGGATCTTTGCTGTGGAGGGATGGCGTGATGCTTCTGTCTATAGCACCATATTGGCCAAGTGATTTTTAATACTACATCTTACTTGTTTAGGGTGGAAGGAATTTTGGCGATACTTCTTAAAAAATAACCTTGGAGCTTTTTTATTTTCCCCAACCAAAAAGCCCAAAGGTTTTATAAGAATGGAACCTGAAAGTAGAATAAAGGATTCAGAGCTTGGTAAACCTGAGTTATGTTGGAAACTCAGCAGAACATTGTTGGGGGCAGCATATTTCAGTACAATGAGAAGACGAAGTGCTTACCAAACTCACATTACATTGATATTTAATGTCTAGTAAGGGAATATTTCCTTTAGTTATTTTAAAGCAGCTATGATTTTTCTATCTCAAAAGATACATTACCATAGTGCTACTGTGGCACATGACCACAGAAAGCTACCATAAACGTTACTGATCTATTTCCTCTCCATTTAGGGCTCTAAAAAGAAATGCAAACCATAGTCAAATTGAGAATGCATCAAAATCTGAAGACAGTTTGCCTCATTTTTATGGAGGATTTGGAAGTCTATTCAGGTTAAATGTAAACTGTGAAACTGACAATGCTCAATTCTACCTGAACTCTGTGATCCTGGAAAACACCAGCGGTCAAAGAAGTCCTCCCACCGTGTGTTCCAAAAAATGGATTACTGTAAATAACCTCTTTCCCCATATGATTTAGATAAGACTGATGCCCCTTTTTACCTATGACAAAGCCAGACACAGATCCTCCAAATTCCCATTCTTTGCCTCATGAACAGTTGACTGAACTGCTTGTCCTCACTGACCAACCAGAAAAATGCTTGTTAACCAAACTTTAAGCTTCTCTCCTTCCCTCAGTCCCTGAACTTTAGACCACTCTCACCTTAAGCCAACATGCAACCCCTCCTTAAGGGTCCCTCCTGAAGACTAGGCTGGCCTCAGCATAAAACACTCTGATTTACTATCTGATCACATCATTTCATTCCACTTCCCCACGCCTGGTTTCTAGTCTTTACTCTCATCTCTGATTCTTGAGATGCTTGTTGATCTTACAGTTGGAGAGGTCTCCCTATTGCAGTATCCCTCCTGCCCCGCACTATTGCAATAGTCCCTCCTCCCCCTTGTAGTATCGCTTCCTGAATAGATCCTTTCCGTAACTAAGCCTGGGTTTATTATTTTGACAGAATAAAAAAGTTGCTGTCAAACAGGCACATTCATGAAATTTAAGAAAGTAGTGCTGGTAGTAGCCAGACTCTGGACACAAACTGGCTATAAATAACATTGATGGTAGATCCTAAAAAGCTCTCCAGAGTTACACCCCTGCAATAAAGTGACTGGCTGGGAGCAATAGAACACTAGGTAAGCAGTCAAAGATCAAGTCTTTTGTAAAAGATAACTGCAATCACCCAAATTACAACATACTTTGTAGATACCCTATTGGATAAAACTGTTGTCAACACAGCCATCTTTTATGATCGTGCACCCAATCAAATGGCCAGGAGGGAGGCAAAGTTCAAAAGTGAGGAAATATAACAGGCAAAACAAGTGATTCTACCAAAAAGCTTGATTGTAGGCCCGAGTCTAACCCATTAAAACAATTTTTCAGGAGAAAAAGAAACAGAAGGTGGTGGTATGCAAAATATTCAATTTTTTATTTTTATGAATAATTGTTATTAATACAGCAAGAACTCATGATTATGAAAGATAGAAAAAATGAGAATTTTAGCATTCAATAGAAATTATAACCTGAGCTGAATGTTGACCAGAATGTCTGACACCTGCCCTGTTCTGACGGAAGTTAACAGGTTTATTAGACTTCTTAAACAATTCATGTAATGCAGAAAAAGTGAACTTAGATTTCAAAACTGCTACAATGCACTGGCACTTGAATTAAATGATTTTTGCTGTTGACATTTGCTTAAGATAACCAGTTACCTAAAGGTCTCATAGGGGAAGGCAGGGAGACATGTAAATTGTAGATTTTAATTAGTAAGAAGCAAGCTGAGATTGTATTGGTAAAATACAGTAAATATTTATCTGTGTAAATCTAAAAGGTTGGCTCAGTTTGTCAGAGCACAAGATAATGCCAAAAGTTCAAGGGCACAGGGATGGATCAATGTCAATCCATCACCACTGTGGAAAACAAGAACAGAGCAGTAATGCCACAAGGAACAGTATTAGTAGGAATAGAAGATGTGTGGTCTAATTCAGTTCTTGTTTTGGCTTCTATAGATCGTTTACTAAGAATCTGGTGAGAAACAGGCAAATTCTACTCCTTTAATAATTGTCCATAAACAGGGAAATTCTACTCCTTTAATAATTGTCCATAAGCAGAAGGGAAGAAATAAAAGAAACCTAACATACAGTGAGGGGCCTTGCTGATTAAAAATCTGTGAAGGAGAACACATTTTTATACGTTGAATCTCCAATTCATATTATAAACCATTTATTACACTACAAAACTTTATAAACATAAAAACTCCTCATATGAACTCCAAAACTAATGGAAATCTCGCTTCCTTTTATTCAATTACTCCTTCCCACATAAGTCCTAAAACTGAGTAATCACATTCCTGCACTTTCACGTGTCATCAAAACGTGATGGTTTTTATCAAAATGATGATGAGAAGCAATTTCAAACGAGGTGAAAGGATCTTGTATTCTCTCAAAATGTTTTCAGCTCTCTGTGCTCGAAGTCGCATTAAAAAAAGGAATGAGAACAGCTGGACTCGTGTAGTTTCTTTCAGCCCAATAATGTTATTAAAGCCCCAATGTCTCAATGCTAGCAAAGGATCCAGTATTTAAGTGCTCTACTACAAAGCATCTCCGGTTCTAAAAGCAATAGCCTTTTCTAACAGGGCTGAACAGTGCCCTTCATCTAGCGGAGACGAGCCACTGACTTCCTTCCAGTGCCAGCTTTCCAAGATGATACTAAGTGAGTTTTTGCCCTGATGTTTTTGCTCCGGGTTTTACGAGGTTTCTCCTCTTTGTGCACCTTCATGTGCTGCCTGAGATGAGAGCTCTGGCTGAAGCATTTGCCACATTCACTGCACTGGTAGGGTTTCTCTCCTGTGTGGGTTCTCTGATGTTGAATGAGGTGAGAACTCTGGCTGAAACATCGGCCACACTCATCACACTGGTAGGGTTTTTCTCCAGTATGGATTCTCTGGTGCTGAATGAGATTTGAGCTCTGTTTAAACCTTTCTCCGCACTCATCACATTTATAGGGCTTTTCCCCCGTATGGATACGCCGATGCTGAATGAGATTAGAACTCTGAAAAAAACTTTTCCCACAATCAGCACATTTATGGGATTTCTTTCCAGTGTGTATTTTCTGATGTTGAAAAAGAGTCGAACTCTGACTGAAACTCTTTTCACATTCAATACACTTATAGGGTTTCTCATCCAAGCTTCTTCTCAGCCTACTCAAGCTTGAGTCAAATCGAGCAGCCACTCCCCACTTCTGCCGCGGCCGTGCTGTTTTGCGCTGGTTCTCATAGGCTTTTCCTTGGCTTGAGCTCCGAGAAATAGCCCCTTTAGATTTTCCTAACTTCATGGTGAAGAGCTAAACGAAGTCTCCTGTCTTCCTCTGCACTGTTGTTGTTTTGCTTCCTTGGGCTGCAGTTCTGAATTTTCTGTGTATAGGAGAACAAAGAGCAAATCATCTTCTCATCAGTCAACTTTAATACCTCTTCAGCCCATCAAAATTACATACATATTTAAAGTGTATTCAATTCAAATGAGAACAAGTAATTCTGGGGAATACTTGCAAAATATTTCTAATAATTCCAGAGTTTAAACAATACATAAATGTCTCCAAATTTTGACTGAATTTACTTTTGAAGTTTTCAACTGTTGGGACAGGACACTGAAGAGTGAGGAAAAGTGACTAGGTGTAACATAAGTTTTTATTAGGCATTATTAAATGAGTATATAATTTTGGAGGATTAAAAGGTAGAGACAGAATATCATATCTTAATAGAAACAGAAGAACTCCAGAAGACAATCAAAATTGGGGTAATATCATTGTTTTACTATTTACATACCAAGTTAAACTTCTACTCACTTACTGGTGACTATCTCATTAACGTGTCCAAACTTGAAAAGAATGGACAAATCATACTACTTTATGAACATTCCTGTTGGTCCTTATTTGTTTAGTCTTCTATTTTCACAGTTACAGAAGACAACTTACTCTAACTTTGTAGTAGAAATTGTTTTTGAAAGTAGAAACTATTCTATAATAGGCTTCCTGTGAGTCTATTCAGCAAATACTGGATAAGAAAAATGTCGGTTAAGAGATGCTTACTATTTTTTTTCTAGATTCTAATGATCCAAGAAAGAGGGATAATTCTTTGAAAACCTGAAACAAGAGGATTGTTTTTGCATGGAGAAAGAAAAATTTAAAAGAATTTTTATGAGTTAGTGGAATGAAGACTAAGGAAAAAAGGTAGTAGGTAGAACACCAGAAAAAGAGAAAGAAACAGTTTAGCACAGAAGTTTAAAAAGACCCAAATACTGCAAAAATTCAAATAAATTAATTTTACTTATTTATTTACAGGGGCAATGGTGGTTCAGAGGTAGAATTCTCGCCTTCCACGAGAATTCTGAGTTTGATCCCTGGCCAACGCACCTCAAGCACAGTCACCACCTGTCTGCTAGGTTTCAGCAGAGGTTCCATACTAAGATGGACTAGGAAGAAAGGCCTAGTGATCTACTTCCGAAAATCAGCCAATGAAAATCCTATGGATCACAATGGTTCAACCCACAACCTACTGTAAGGATGGAGCAGGACTGGACATCATTTTGTTCCATTGTGCATGGGGTCACCATGAGTCCAGGGCGACTTGAGGGAGCTAAACAACAATTTATTTATAAGGGTGACTCGAAGCTGTTCAAAATAATTGCCATAAACAAAACAAAACAAAACCCAAATTCCAAATAGGTAGTAATGTGACAGAAGCTAGGACTACAAGAGTGATGTAATTATGGGAACTATTTTCCACATCTTCGGGCAAAATGAGAACTACCCTGGATCTCTCTGCATACAAGCAAGTGAAAACACAAATTATCTTATTTTTCTTGCCTTTCTTTCACCTTACTGTGTAATTGAGACTCCATATATGATAGAGCGAAGGACTTTATCTGAATATTTCATAATTATACCTGCTATAATTATGGCCAATGTTGCAAAGAGCAAACTGCATACAACAAAAAATTAGACTATTACCCATTCCTTAACATTAGCAAATATTTACAGAACATCTACTTGTGTTATGTATAGTGATGGTGTTCAAAAAGTAGCCACAACCATAATTACACATTTAAAAAAAAAAATATTTTTGTTAAGGTGAAGTCAAATCTGGTATGAAACTCTGAGACTATCTACCTAGAACACTACAAATGAGGGTAGGCTGACAAGTAGCCTATGAGCCAGACAGTGTGTTACCTTAATCTGGTGCTAGCTCATTAACTCTCACAGCAGCTTTGTGCAATTATGTTCCTATAACAGCTAAGGAGACGGAGGCATAAAGGTAGTCAAGGACTTCGGCCAGGTTCCCAACCTCTTGCGTCTGACTGCAGACTTGTAGGGACAGAAGTGATATTCAAAGCCACATCTTCGAAAGCCAATTTCAGGGCTGCGACTAACAGCACGTGCGAGTCCTAACGTAAACTTGAGTGACTGGAGCTAGAGAAATGAGGCCCTGGGTAACTATAATGTGCCCCAGTTGCCTCCTACATAAAATTGGGATGATCACAAAGCACGTCCAGGACGTTAGAACTTCAAATGAGCTGGTATCTGCAAATCGCTGTGGACAGCCCTGTGCTGCATAAGCCCCTTCAAGCTACGTGATGGAAGGAGTCAGGGCTGGGAGTCACGGGCCTAGTTCTGTCCGCTCTGGGCCAACTTGCAGCGACCCAGGTTAAGAACCCTCCCCTTCGAGCCCCCGAAGGCGGCTCCTCACGGGCCCGCCCGCCCGCTCCCGGAGGCCCGGCCCAACGCGGGGAGCCGAGGCCTAAAGGCGCCAGCCCCGCCGCCGCCCAGTCCGCCCCGCCCCACAGCGGCCGGCTTGGGCCCGTCAAGCTGACGAGCGCCCGGGCCGCGGGGCACCCACGCTGAGAGCTACTCACCACTCCCGGTGCGGCCACCGCCCTGGCTGCCTGGGTGCCACTCGGCTCGCCGGAAGTGAGCGCCGCGCCGTTAGTCGGCACCGCCGCGGCCGCTCTAGGCGCACGGCGGAGCGCCCCTCTATGGTCCCGGGCCCCCTGAATGAGGTTGTATTGCTGTAGTTTTGCTTCCTTGTCCTCTCCCACCCCTGGAAGGAGCACTGCTCCTGTGGCGAGTTCCCTTTGCGGTGGAGCAGCTCCATGTACAGCCTGCAAACCGAGGACTGTCAGAGCTTTTGAAATCAAACACAAGCCTGCCCATCTCGAAACTTCATTTTTTTCTGCAAATATTGAGCACTCGTTATAAAGAAATACTTGTGGAGAGCCTAAGCTGTTTCCGATATTTTTCATGAGTTACCTTATTTAATTAACAACAACAGAAAAAAAAAAAAAAAATCCCAAAACCAAGAATCCTACAAGATGAGAATTATCATATGCATTTTACAGATAAGGCTTAGAGAAGAAATTCACCCATCCCAGTTTGCATAATGTACAGTGGCAGACCCAGAACTGGATTTTCCACATACCACCCTGTTTCTCTGTAGTAATGATCTCTCCTGGTTCTTCTACCTTATAGGCTACCCCTCCTTTGCCAACAGTGCTCAATTCTCTGACTTGTTCTCTGTGTTCCCTCACTCCCTTGGAGGAACTCCTCCAGTTTAATGGCTTCGAATACCACCTGTTTTGCTGAAGACTCCTGAATTAGTAACTCCAGTCAGACCCTGGGATGGAAATATTCTTAACCTCTGGACTTTATATCCACCTGTCTACTCAATATCTCCATTTGCATGTCTAATGGGCATCCCAAACCTAGCATGCCTCCAAACAAACTCCTGATACTCACCTCCTAACCTGGATGGCCATGCCATGTTTCCAGGTGCTCAGGTCCAAAGCCTTAAGGTCATCATTGTCTCTCTTTTTTACCCAAACCACATCTAATTCATCAGCAAATTCTGTTGGCCCAATCTTCAACATGTATCTAGAATCAAACCACTCTCAACACCTCCACCAAGTCTCTTGTCATCTCCTGTCTGGATTATTGCATTGGCTTCCTCACTGGTCTTTCTACAGTCCCACAATGATCCTCTTAAAACTCAAGTCAGATCATGTCATTCATTTCTTCAAAACCCTCCGAAGGCTTCCCATCTCACTTAGAGCAAAAGCCCAAGGCCTTACAATGACATGTGAAGCCCCTTATGATCTGTCTCTTTTGTTCTTGGCTGTCTCTGCATTGCCCAAGAACAATGCCCTGCAGGTAATACACAATCATTCAAATTTGTTGAATGAATGAATTTATAAGATGCTTTATTGTTTACAAAGTGCTTTTACATCTGTCCCCCAGTCATTCAGCTTTAGTATAGTCTCATGAAGCAGGGATCATCATATATGTCTCAAAAGAGCAGTAAAATCAGGCTTAGAAAAGGACACTTGCCTAAAGTAACACAGCAAGTTGATGACAGTCTAGATTAGATCAAAGATGCAGACTGTATAGCAGGGGCTTTCTGCTGGGCAGGGAGCTGCCTCTACAGATGGCAAAGCATGACACTGCCTGAGGTCTGGACAAGGACTGTAAAGTCTATAATATGGATGATATCTGGATTGCTGGAAAGATGAAATGAGATGAGGCACTCAGCACAATGCACAACACATAGGAAATATGAGCCATTGTTATTACTTTTATTATTAAATTATTACAACGTGTTGATGATTGTGGTTGGAGAAGGTTGAGGGGAGACAGTTGTCAGAGATGCCAGGCATGGTTGAGGAGAAAATTTAAAGAGGACAAATGCCCTGCTGGGACTGTTTGCTCTATCTCCATTAAAATAAGAAGATAAAATTTACCCCAAACTATTTTATTAGTAAGACAGTCATTAGTTCAAACTAACTTCTTTGCATGTACCAAATGAGGGTGGATGATCTCATTTTCCTGTGCCTGAAAGCAAGTAGGCCAGCCACAGAGGGCCTGGACATGTGTATATGGGAAAGGTTGAGAAGTGGGTAAAGATAGATGCCACCAAAAAAAAGAGAGCAAGATGAAAGTTTGAGGAAATAAAGGGATGTGGGAGGCCAAGAGTGGACAGAGTAGGAGGTAGGGATGGAGAGAAACACGAGCCATGAATAGAGACCAAGGGGAAAACAAGGAAAGAGGGAGAGAAAACAGGCAGGGTTTTATGCTCTCAGTTTACTTATTAGTGTAATAATACTCAACATTACTGAATGCCTCTTATGTGCCTGGCACTGTTTGAAACACTTCACTCAGTATTCCTGTGGAATAGTTGTTCCCCAGCATTTGCTACCCCTTCTCGGATTTTACATTCCTCCCCAATGCCTTGTGATTTCAGTGCCTCCTGGAGAAGTACGTCCCCATCCCACTGATGTTGACTTTGCCATTTGATTGCCTTGGCCAACTGCATGTCTGTGGACATGAAGACACACTCATGCTTTTTTCTACCTCTAGAATAACATGTCCCAAGTAGGGGCAGCTCCTTGAGTTAAGGATCCAGAACGAGAAGACATGTGGATCAGGGCCACATAAGGCAGCCCACAGCTGCCTGCAGTCACTGACATGCAATATGAAAGAGAAGTAAATGCTGTTGTAGCCACTGAGATTTTTGGTGTTGGGTGTTACTGCAGCAAAGCTGACTAATATACCTCCCAATAACCTTAAGAGATGGGAACTATTATTATCCCCATTTTACAGATGAAAAAATGGAAACAAGTAACTTGCCAAGGTCACACATTTATAAGTGGCAGAGCCAGGTTTTACAACCGGACAGTCTTGCTCCAGTGTCTACACTCTTAACCTCTAAATAACAGCAGATCCCTTAGATGGTGTCTTAGTCATCTAGTGCTGCTCCAACAAAAATACCACAAGTGGATGGCTTTACAAAGAGAAATTTATTCTCTCACAGTCCAGTAGGCTACAAGTCCAAATTCAGGGCATCAGCTCCAAAGGAAGGCTTCAAGTCCAAATTCAGGGCATCAGCTCCAGAGGAACGCTTTCTCCATCGGCTCTGGAGGAAGGTCTGTGTCATCAGTCTTCCTTTGGTCTGGGAGCTTCTCTGCGCAGGAACCTCAGGTCCAAAGGACGCGCTCTGCTCCCGGCACTGCTTTCTTGGTGGTATGAGGTTCTCATGTGTCTCTGCTCGCTTCTCTCTTTTATATCTCAAAAGAGATTGCATTAAGACACTAATCTTGTCAATAAACCTCATCTTGTCAACCTCATCACAGTGATAGAATGTATAACACATGAGGAGATCACATATAATCTCATCATAGTGGTAGAGTTTACAACACATAAAGAAATCACATCAGATAACACAATCATACAATACGAGGAATCATGACCTAGCCAAGTTGCTACACACATTTTTTGGGGGACACAATTCAATCCATGACAGAAGAGATGTCAGGTTATTTTAAAGCAAATTAAATTATTGAAAATGGTCATAAACCTGTTGCTGTTGAGTCGATTCCAACTCATAGAGACCCTATAGGACAGTGTAGAACTGCCCCATAGGGTTTCCAAGGAGCGCCTGGTGGATTTGAACTGACAACCTTGTGGTTAGCAGCTGAGCCCTTAACCACTGCACCACCTGGACTCCCAAATGGTCCTACATATTTATGAAAGAGGGAGGGGTGGGAAGGTGGGAGAGACCCACAGGGGAGAAAAGAAGGGCTATGCCACCATCGAATCCTAACAGTATCTCTTTCTGGGGAATCTGGGCCAAGAGGAGCCAGATCCTAGCTGCTGGAACTTCCTGGGGATCTGCACTCAGCAGGGACCAGTGTGCCCTGGGTCCATGGTATTTGAAGGGCCCATTCTAGAAAGAGGCTTGTGGGCTGAGAAAAATCCTGGCAAGACAGCTTCCTTTTAGTATGGCTTTGTCCCGTGCCCCCACCCCCTTGCAGACAGGTGGACAGAGAGGCTGACACAGACACACAAGCGCGGTCTCAGCAGGGGGAGCTGCTGCCTGGGCCTGTGCCTGGCCACAGTGATCCCCAGACCAAGAGCAAGAAGCCTGGCTGCATGACAGGCCTAGGCAGCCCATCTCAGCACAGCACAGGGACCCTGAACAGTGGGTTTTGTGCACCAAGCCTGAGACTTTGCTCTCTGTTTCCTTTGGGTTCTATGGGAAAGGAAGCCCCAGGAATTCCCATTCCTGGATCTGCAGAGAACAGCTCCCTTAAAAGCCTGGCCAAGAGGGTGCAGGGGTCCCGCCCTGCACACTCTGAGACTTGGGCCTGTGAACAGCTGGCTCTTTCCCAGAGGACTGTAGTCCCTGGGGGCCAGAGAGTATGCATCTGGCTGTTCTGACACTTGGAACTGCTTGGCTTTGGCAGAGATTCCTGCCTGGCCACAGCTGAAGGACTAAGAGGCAGGGGTGGGCTAATGTCTCATCCACCATGCCTAATAAGGTATCTGTCCCCTGCTTACTACCCCCTGGTGGCTGCTGAGTGTTCCTGCCCTATGCACACAGGGGGACATTTTGTATGACCTCCACAAACCACCTTGATCAGACTGGGATACTTCTTGTCTGTGTCCTTGAGACTAAGGGGCCAGATGTGCCCTGGGTAAACACACAGCTTTGTTTTGTCAGTGGGAAGGTCTTTAACCCATTTCTGGAAAGCATTCTAAGCAGGCAGCATGTGATTATCACTGTGGGAAAAACAAGCTGTTTTTGATCCCTTCTGGTAATTCGTTCTGGGCAAACAACCCTGTTTTGCCCCAGAGCCCAGTCTTACTTTTGCCATCAGGCTGATTTTATCCTGCGCTGTTTACTCTCTCCTTTGGCTTTGCCGCCCACCCAAGCAGGGCAGTCCTGTTTTAGAAGATGTTCGTGACAGGAGTCTCTACTTTTGTACTAGTTTCCGTCAAGTTAATTCTGACTCATGGAGACTCTGTGCGTGTCAGAGTACAACTGCTTCATAGGGTTTTCAATGGTTTATTTTTTTGGAAGCAGATCGCCACACCTTTCTTCCGAGGTGCTTTTGGGTGGGTTCAAATTACTGACCTTTTGGTGAGAAGCCCAGTACTTAACCATTTGTGCTACCCAGGGACAGTGTCTTTGCTTTGCTACCTGAGATTCTAGTGAGTGAACAAGCAAGCATATAAGACACAATGTAAGCGCTATTGAGAAAGGGAAATGGAACTCCCTGCATACCCCAGCTGGAAGCTACAGAGCCTGTAACACAGTCTGAATTGAGATGTGAGGTGTGCTGAATCCCCAGCTTTTCAGAATACCTCTGAAAACCTAATATGTGCTTATAGAAAGGTCTGTTAACTCCTCAACTGACTGTAAAAGTGGCTATCTTCCCATTTCCTGCAAAACTTCAAGTGATTTTTCTTAGGGATGATGTTCAGTTGTTAGTTTTGACAGCAAAAGCGATACTTATCTTAAAAAAATCTTAATTAAATATATTGTAACAACTGCTCAAAAAAAAAAAAAAAAAAAAGGCCATTGTGTACAGAGAGGTTCCCATGAGCTGGTCCGCCTTGTCCTGTCCCCAGCTGGTAGGCATCTCTGCTTGGCCTGGAATGCCACACACCATTGTAGCCAGCTCCAGCTCGGCCTCAGGCCTCCTTTCTGGGTGCTCCCCGGCTCTCACTCAGCTGGCCCCCCGACATTCTCGGGTGTCTGGCCTCCTCCCACAAGGAGCTCCCTGAAAGCTGGTTGGATGGTGCCCTAGTCTGCACCTCCAGGGCTGAGTACAGGACCTGGCACAGGAACACTACTGCATTCATGCTGAACAAATGGGTGGGTAGTTGTCTACATCCAAGGTTTTAGATCAGACGTGGGGAGCAAAACTACCTGGGGAGTTCCTGTTTTCATTTCCCATCCTCAGCGAGCCTCTGTCTCCATCTCACCTGAGAGCCCCTGCCTCGCAGATTCCTACCGCCCAACCTGATAAGACTCTGTGATTCTGAGTGACCTGTCACCCACTGTCTAGCAGCCCAAGGCCCCCACCAGTGATTCCTATTCTGCGTCCTATGGCACCGTCTCTTCTCGGGCTGGACCTCCACCCCAGGATACACATGGAAACAGGAATTGTACCGACTTCAAGAGCGATAGGCTGCGGTTCAGCTCTGGCTTTTCTGCCAAAAGCAGCTAGGCATACTGTAGGGGTTTGAGAGGTTAGAGCAAGGGGGCCCAGTGGAGACACAAGCAAAAAGAATAAGAAAACCTCTCCCTAATTTCTTCAGTTCAACATGTTGTTAGCTGTTGTCAAGTCGGCCCCCGACATACAGTGACCCCATGCACAAGTGGATTGGAGTTGTGATCCATGGGGTTTTCATTGGCTGATTTCACAGCTCATTTATTGAGTACCTAGAAAATTCTGCTTCATAAGAAGAGCATGGACAACAGGAGCGTTGTGCTGTGCATCTCTGATGCTGCTGCTGCCTTGATAGAGCAGGACAGAGCCAGGGGTGGGGGTCGGGCGGCCATGGCGTGAAAGTCACCTTGACAGGTCTGGTCCACATTACATGGCTGTCCCAAGTCTCTGCCATTACGGGCACTGGTGAGGTGCCTCCATGTGAGTGGACAGAGAAGCTCTCCTATCTTTGGAGCCCTTTATAGCTCTTCCCTCTGCATCCACCATCCACAGATGCCACAGGGATCAGCATTTGAGTCTTCAGTTTGTCCTTGTTTTGGATAAGCACTTCAAGTGACTGATGTAAACTGTTGCATAGTTTTGCAAAGGCATCTCATTCCAGAAATTCTCCAACAGGTGACAAACAGACTGTTCAGTGTCTGGCCCCAGGCAACTCAAAGCCTTTTCTTCCCAAACAGACAATTCTCCTCATCATGCCCCTTTGAAGGAAAGTAGTAAGAGTTGTCTGCTGCCCACCAGAGCAGGGGAAAGCAAGCCTGGGGAAGGTCCGGGGCACACAGGTGTCTGCAGGGCAGCAGGGATGGGACGAGGACTGCCATGCAGGGCCTTCTGCCAGGCAAAACCTGGAGAGCGCTTGTCCACACGGGGGCAGCACCCACTCAATGCCACATTGACCACCTACTCAACAGGATCCAATGGGCAGGTTTCTTGCTCTTTATAAGAATTCCTCTGGGTCTCACTGGTAAAGCTGAGGCCAGTGCTGTAGATGAACGTCTGTGGTCTCATTCCCGGTCTGGACTCTGCCAGGGGTTCTGGGCTGGGTGGGGCTCCTGGGGCCTGAGGCTGAGGCTTAGAGGCCAGGGAGGCCGTGGGTGAGTGGTGGCTGACAGCAGGGCCATGTCCATGTCTGACGGCCGCCCTGTTTTTCCAAGCAGGGGGCTGCCTGGTTGGCAGTATGACATGATGGGCAGACAGGGATCCCATAGTTTGTGTCTGTGTGGGTGACGGGGTCAGGGGCTGTGGCCCCTCACAGGCTCTGGGTCAGGCACTAGAGAGCTGAAGAAGCACACTCCAGGGGCTCAGACAAGCACCGCTCTCCTAAGCAGGTGAGGTGTGGGGTGAACAGGACTGGTCATGGCCATCCAGCCACATAACGTGGCCAGTGCCACAGCCTCAGGGCTCCATTCTGCCAGGCCTGTTCACATGCAGACACCACCCAGCCAGCTCCTGGCTCCTCAGGCGTGGGCTGGCCCTGGGCATGCTCACCGGGGAGCTGGGGGCCGGGGTAGGGGACTCAGGGCTTTGGCTTTGCACAGGTGGGAGACGTAGACACTGGATTCCTCAGATAGGGCCGTCCATCAGTGTGACTAGTCAGTACCGTGTGGCAGGCCCGGCCCCGGGACTCAGCGTGCACTGGCGCTTGGGGGCTGCAGGAGAGGCCGTTGCTGGCCAGCTACTTGGCCTCCACCAGCTGCTCCAGACGCTGCAGCATTGTCAGACGCAAGGCTTGGAACCTGGCGGAGACACAACCGAAAGAACCCCACTGAGCTGGGAGGCTGAGGGGGGTGGCAGGTGCCTGGCTCCAGGAGACACACCACTCCTGACCAGCTGACTGTGGCTACCACCCCTCCTCAGGCAAGGAGAGGGCGAGCCGGCCCCCACCCTGCGAGACCGCTGTAAAGAGCGATCAGACATGGCCACGGACCATTGTGAGCTTCAAAGTAGAATTTTGCTGTTTCCACTGCAAACTCTAGAGTGGACAAGGGCGTCCTGGAGCAGACAGGGCAGAAGGGCAAGAGTCAGCAGGCTGCGCTAAGCCACCTCTGAGATAGCTTGTGAGGAACACTTTCTCATCTCGGGCCTCTGTTTCCCCACTGTACACTCAAAAGATGGCCTGGTAACTCCCCATGTCCCTTCTGGTTTCAAACCTACAGTGGCATGGCTGTGGACCTGTTCCCTCTGTTTGTGCTCTCTGCCGGTTTGCAGGGTCAGGCCGCACTGCACAGATGGAGGCCTGGGGGCGGGGGATGTGGCTTTCTGAGGGCCATTCAGCCAGAAGCCTGAATTGGAACCAGGCCCCGATCTTAGGCTCTCAAGGTGAGCACCTCCGTCCCATCTCTCCTCAGCTGGACTCTGAGCCCAGCACTGGCTGAATGCCCTCCATGCCTGCACTTGAGAGGGAGAGACAGACCATCAGGAAGTACACCCTGCCGAACCTCACACAGGCGGCCAGATGCAGCTTCCCCAGGGCTCGCCAGATGACACCTGCTCACCCTTCCACTCCACCGGTCCTTGCACCTGAAGATGTCATCTGCCACTGCTTTCGGCCAGCTCAGACCTCCTGCAGGTACGGCCAGCCCTACACCAGGCTGACTCTGCACTGGGCAGGCCCTCTCTGCGGCCGGCTCTCCAGCCTGTGGCCCCAGCGCCTGCCCATGCTGCTGGCTCTCTGACTCCCCGGCCATGTTTTCAGCAGCATGCGCCCATGGTAGTGAGGACGCTGGCTCTGGAGGGGCAGTCTGGGCTGTTCCCTGCCATTCTGGTGGCTGGCCCCCCAGCCTTGGCTCAGTAGTGAGCAGGAGGCTGGGGTTTCCAGGGAAGCCTCCCGGCCCTGGCCTGGGTCCTCGCTGCCTCGCAGGCTGGCCCCTGGTATCCAGGTGCTACGACTGGCTTTTTATGTGCTGCTTACTTCATGGTCAGCTTGATTATTTCTCTTTCCTCCTCTTCTTTTAATTTCTCAACAAAACTGTCCAGCACCGGCATTTCAAACTTAATGTACTGAGCGACCTAGAAAATCCAAGAAATTTTAATGTGCTTTCAATTCAAAGCCAAGAAAGCCTGTTCTTCTCCTTACAGCTTCCGGGAGGGCCAATTCAGCACATGCCTGTGTCCAGGGAAGCAGCTGCCCCCTTCCCACCCCCACGGCTGCTCTATCATGTGTTAGGATGGGAGACAGGAGCCCGTTCTCATCTGAAAGGCAACTCAGCCCTGGGAGGAGATGTTCAGTGAATACTAGGAAAAGCATTCAATAGTGAAATAGAGTCATACAGGGTGTTGGCGTGGGGTGGGTGGGCTCGCCATTGTTTCTAACAATGGCATGAAACTGCCCGAGCCCTGAGAGTCGTCTGAGAGATGCAGGGCCACCAGGGCCCTCAGCCTGCAGAAGAGACTCCCTCCCTGGTGTCTAGGCCTTTTCTGGTAGAGGAGTCTAGAAATTTGCTCATTGTCTGGCCAAGACTCAGGCTGTTGGTAAGACTCCTACCCGCCGAGTCTAGGCCTAGTAAAGGAGACCTGGTGTGGGCTGTGAGTGTAACAACAACCAGACACACTCCAGTGAAGGGTTTACTTGCCTCAGCAGAAAGGACTGGGCCACGGTCCCTTTGCCTGCGTTCTAGGACCCAAGGTCTTTTTCTTCCCTAAGCTGGCTGATAAAGCTCATGGTTGCTGGGATGGCAGGAAGCGGGAGGATCTCGGCCATCACTGTGCTGGGCCTGGGGCAGTCAGGACAGCAGTGGGGCCCTTGGTGGTGGTCACCCTCAGAGCCCTCAGGGGTCTCCCATGCTGCCACACAGCCTGTCCCTCAGGAATGGGACCCCAAGTCCCGGCCCTCACTCACATCGTAGGGGACTTCTTCGCCCAAGTCTGTTTCCATCAGGAAGAGCCTGGCAATCTTCTCACATGGCCCGTGCAGGATTCTGGAAATCAGGGGGTACTCATGGTCTTTTAACTTCGTCCTCTCTGAAAAAAAGAGATGGTTTGCAAAATTCATGGGACATAAGAATTGCCTCTCTTGGATGCAGGACAAGAACATGATGGAAAACTGATGTCCAAGGGAGCTTGGGGAATCTTCTCCAGGCCTCGCTGGTATTGCTGCCCTGGGACACCATCTCAGCAGCAAAGGCCCAGCTCTGAGAAACAGGGGCCGAAGGAGCAGAGAGAGGGGACACAGACAGGGGAGGTGAGGCCTGCTCACGCTGACGGGGTTCCTAGACTGTGCCTTGTGAGTCCAGCAATAGAGGGGTGAGCGGTCCTACCCCAACGGTTCTCAAATGGGGACTTTTACTCCACCTCTCAGATCGTGACCTGTACCCCACCACTCCTAACTGAGCCCCACTGAGCCGAGAACCACTTGTTTGACTTGAAGAAGTTGGAGGCAACTTTTCATAACACTTTGCTGGATCTGAAAGACAGGACACGTGCTCCTGGGTTTGGGATTGGGAGAAACACTCATGGTGGAGGAACAGAGTGTTTTAGGACAAGGAGGACCAGCTGCCCCACACCCCCAACCCGCCCAGCACAGGGCCTCCTAGAGAACAGTGTGGAGGGCGAGCTGGCCGAGAGGACAGAGACGTTCTACTTTTTGATGCATAAACGCAGGTGGACACTTACCCCCTGACTCGTGCACAATGTAGAGTGCAAACTCTTCAGGGTCATTTTCTACCTGCATGAGCAGCGACAGAGTCAGACCACAGAGACACACCCCAATGCCACACACAACCCCCATGGAACCGCCCTCTCTCTGAAATCCCAGAGATGGTCCCTCGGCTGAGGAAACCTTCCTACACCTTCTCCCCAGGAGCCACGGGCAGCTTTCCCAGCTTCACCATCGCCCCTTCCCTGCCTCCTCCCCGACCCCCACCAGACAGAATGACCAACCACCAGTACCAGCACAGGCAGCTGCACCCCAGACTTACTCTGAACTTGTTCAGCAGCAGGGTGAGCACCTGCAGGGTTGTCATGGTGCTGCTGACCCTCACATTGGTCATGGAGCCGAAGGCAGGAGTAAACACGGAGGTCTGTGCCGGGTGGGGGTGGGGGCAGGTCAGGGCAGACCCCCTGGGCTGACATCCTGCAGGGGTCTGGACCCGTCTGGCCGGACCGTGCTGAGCAGACCCGGACAGCTGGGGACCCCCTCCTCAGGCTCTGGGAACAGTTGTGCCTGTCCATTCAGAGAGACCCACACGCAAACTGTTCCCAGATCTAGGGGTGCTCGGGGAACGGGTACCACTTCACGTCTTATGACATCCTGTAAAGAGGACGCCTACGTTCGTATAAGGGCCAGCTTTCTGGATTCTAGGAACAAATGCCAAGGAAGGAATTCTCAACCCGGGGTGGTAACAAGTCTCTCCCACACCCTACCGACTACATCACCAAGTGTCTGTGGATTCTAGGGCTGGAGTTCTCAAATCTGTCCCCTCTTCTGCATTCTCCTAGCAGACTGGCCCGAGTTGAGGCCCTCCATTCGTACCTCACCAGCCTCCTAACCCGTCACCTTCCAGGCTGTTCTCTACACTGCAGCCAGAACACCCTTCCACTGGCACTCAGAGTGTGGTTTGGACCTGGTGCACAAGCATACAGAGGCGCAGGTCCCACCCCAGACCTCCTGAATCAGACTCCGTGTGTTGAGAAGGCCAGGTGGTGCTATCTGCACAGCACAGTTTGAGAAGTGTTGCTTTAAAATGCAGTTCTTGTTAAAAGTATCTGATGGCGTACTGGTCTATCTGACATCCTCCACGGCTCCCTGCATCGCCATGCACACACGGTACCAGGCACCCTGCGTCCAGCCCCTCGGCTTCCTGATGGATTTTGGACTCATTACACTTTTGAAGGTATCTTGCTTTTGTCTCTGAGACACCATATATGAATTCAACCAGCAATTGCCTGAGGCATAAGTCCTCAACAAACATAAGCAGTGTGTTAAACCTGCCAAGCATTTTTCATACAATCTGATTTAACCCTCACAATAGCCCTTCGAAGTACCTATAATCGTTCCCCTTCCTCAGGTGGGAAACCGAGGCAGAGGGAGACTAAGCAGCCAGTCGGGGCTGCACATCTAGAGATGGCAGAGCTGTGACTCAAACAGCTCAGTGACACCCGAGATTTGGTGCCTTAATGCCCAGGCTGACGCCCCCCAGGGAGTGCAACTCCTCTGCCTAAAACAGTTGTCTCTTCTCTGTGGGTGAACTCCTCACTGTTTTCAAAATTCAAATTCAAATTCATGTGTCCGCACTCTATGCTCCTAGCTCTGCTTCCTCAAGGGGGAAATGGAGCTCAGGACACTTCAGGGACGTGCTCAGCATCTCTAGTGGGTCAGTTACCAGTTACCAGTGGGCATCAAGTCAACTCCAGCTCATGGCGACCCCATGTGTGTCAGAGTACAACTGTGCTCCAGAAGGCTTTCAATGGCTGAGTTTTGGGAAGTTGATTGCCAGGCCTTTCTTCCAAGGTGCCTCTGGGTGGACTCAAACTTGTAGCCTTTTGGTTAGCAGCTGAGCATGTTAACTGTTTGTACCACCCAGGGACTCCTAAGTGGGTCAGTAGCGGAGTCATACTCCAATAAAGATCTGTCTCTTCCATAGTTGAGACCTAGAATGACTGAATTGCACAGAAAACAACTCAGAATTAGGTTTTGGGTCCCCAAGAAATGTAGAATAAACAGAGGAGCCAGGCTGTCCCAAGGAAAAGAGAGGTCTTATCCAACGAGACCCTGTTAGTGTTTCTGCTGCACGAAGCCTTTCTCAAGATGATAGCAACCAAATCCAAGTCTGAACAAAGGTCTCCGGCTGAACTCCACCTCTAACAACTATGATTTCTCTCCCAGAGAGCACACTGGGTCCAACAGGCCAGGCCAAAGCAGTGGGAACAGGCACAAAGTTTACGGGCCTGGAAATAGAACCCACACTGCTGTGAATCAGAACAGTTTCAGAAAATGACTGAAGTAATAGTGCACAGTTTTAAGAAAAAACAAACCAAATCAGACAACAATGACTGACAACTACCCCATGGAACCAATTCTGGGTATTACTTCTTTTAAAAAAATTTTCCCCTAGGACTCAAGTGACTTTTCACTTAATTTCTAAGGGCACTAACTCTGTGAATGTAAAGCAAGGTAAGAAAGAGGGATTTTGTATATGGTTTCTCTCTGGGAGCCCCTTGCTCACTTTGAAGATGTGAATTAACTTTCCAAAATGCTTAAGATACTACTTCATGTCCTGGAAGGACCACGGTCTGCAGGTAAATCTGTCATTACAGGGAGAAGCCACTCCACCTGGATTCCAGGTAGAAGGCTAGGGGTCAGGCTGGCTGAGCAGCACTTCTTTCTCAGGATGGTTCAAATGTCAGCAAGGCAGTGTGATGGGCGGCCTGGCCAGTCATTGGTCATTTCCAAGGTTATCATGTGCTCCAGACACCTCTGTGTCCCCGAGACATTTGCGATTACTGAAATAAGGTTTTCTGTGCAGACCTCTCAGAGGTGAATGAGAACCTTCCTCATTGTACCTGGAGTCATGAAGCAACGAATACAGAATTAGAAAGAGTCTTAGCCTGTGCAAATGTTCTTTGTAAAATTTTGGCTAACTCTTTAAAATAGCATAACAATGTTTATTCAAATACTAATGACGAGCGCTTACTTAACACTTTACAGACTAAACCCCCTTTTGGAACAAGATTTAAAGAATAACCAAGTCCCTGGGTGGTGCTAATTTCAAGGCTGGAAGTTCAACTCTACCCAGAGGAGCCTTGGAAGAAAGGCCTGGCAATCTGCTTCCAAAGGTCACAGCCATGAAAACCCTATGGAGCACACTTCTGGGCTGACACAGAGTTGCCATGAGTTGGGGTTGACTCCATAGCAACTGGGTTTATTCTATCTTTAGGCTAATCTAAATCACTCTTAATCTCTGTTTACCATACACCCCTGCTTCTCCTTAACTCTCTCAGCAAACTCTACTTTCAAATAGTCCTGGATTTTTCTGGACTCTAGCCAATGTAACTGATCTTCCTTCACTAACATTTACTGCTACCCTGGTGGGAACTGGAAGGAGGTCCTGTGACTGCAGCAGGGTGGCTTGAGTGACCCCTGGTAGGCCTCCCAGAGGCAACCTGCTCAGGTAGAGTGGGGAGACCTGTCCCTTCCCATGCCCCTCCCCTCTGTGAGTCATCGGCCATCAAGCAGGGCAGCTGCTTACACCAGGAACCTCTGCTTTTGTTTTCCTGAAGTGACAGGATATAGCATGTTACAGGACACCCTATTCAGCCTGGCTCCTCGTTCAGTTCCATTTATAGTAACAATGCCAGTTGCGCTTGTTTACAAGATGATGTAATCTAGGGAAGAATGTCTTTTTCTGAGGTTGGTACAATGCCTCCCCTGACAAAGGCAGCCAGTGCTGGGAACTGGGGCTGGTCTCGGTTCTCGGAGCACAGGCACACGTGCCCCTGGACACACCTCAGCAAGAGCATGACATTCCCAGCCAGCCGAATGTGGGGAGAAACCTCATGGGGAAACTGGCCAAGTAAAGATAAATTGGGTGTCACTGCCTGCCTCAGGCACCCACCGTTTATTTGCCAAGAATCCACATGACTTTTGAGAATGATTGACAGTGAGCGCAGAGGGGAAAACAGAAGCTTTGAGGTCAAGAGCTGGAGTCTTATTTTGGTGTGACTTTGGAAGGATATTCAGGCTCCTGCGCCTGTTCCCTCATCAGGACATAAGGTCGTTATGAGGTTAGGAGTTTGGAACTAATGTTTGCTGCCACTGGGTTGGTCTCCACTTATGGTGGCCCCATGCACAACGGGATCAAACTGTTGCAATCCATAGGGTTTTCATAGACTGAGTTTTGGAAGGAGATCACCAGGCCTTTCTTCCTAGTCTGTCTTAGTCTGGAAACACCACTGAAACCTGTTCAGCAACATAGCAACACGCAAGCCTCCACTGACAGACAGGTGGTGGCTGTGTGTGAGGTTCATTGGCCGGGAATTGAACCCGGGTCTCCTGTGTGGAAGGCAAGATATTCTATGACTGAAGAACCACCAGTGTCCCTTCATCATGAGGTTAAATCTAATGATCACAGGGCCCACAGTAGGGCTGAACAGTTGTGCCTGTGCTGGGGGTTGGCTCCCTATAAGCGAGTCGGTGACTCACCCCAAATACAAGGCGGCAAAGGGCCAGGAAGACAGGGCAGGCTGGGGCCTCACCTTGTGGTTGTAAAAATGCCCGTTGATGGAGAAGCGGTGTTGCCGGACCCTCTGCGCCTCGCTGGGCGTGCGGCCCTTGGGCCTCCTCTGAATTACACAGCTGGCGTCGCTCCTGGTCCGCGGTAGCTGTGGGACCTCCGTGTCCCCTTTCAGGGGCTCTGCAGTGAGAAGCAGAGGACAGGACAAGGCACTGGTGAGATGATGGCAAGGCAGCTGCCACCAGTCACAGTCCTGCTGCCTGTGGGGTCTGGGTCCACCCTCTCATCCGCACACTGTGTTCACCAGATGGTAGCACATCATGCAGGTGCAGTGAGGGAGGCTGGGGTGCAGCCTGCATTGCTCCCGGTTTGCAGACAGGCAAGGTGACAGTCAAGAGTGTGACCCTGTGACAGCTACTCTTGGTCTCTGTCTCAGGGCACCTGGGGCAGGAGGTGCGCAGCTGGGTCAGTGGGTGGGGCAGCCCCAGCCCCGTGCCCTGAGCACCCACACTGGGGGAGGCCCTGCACTAGGAGCTCAGGGAGGGGCACAAAGAGAGAGAGGAGCGTCTGCAGGTCCAAGAGTGAGCATAGGGTCCCAAAGGCCTGCGGAGGCCCCGGCAGCACCACAGCGCCCACTCCGACGTCTCCTCATTCCCAGAGCAGTGTGGCTATAGAAAGATAACCACTTACACACTAGGTAACCTCTGCCAGGCTCTGCCTCCCTGTCTGTAAAAGGAGATCACAGCTGTCACCCTGCAGTACTGTCCTGAGGAATGAGTGAGGATGTGTACAAAGCGTCTCATTTGAGCAGGTATTTAATGATGGCAGCTACTGAAGACAGATGACGTCGCTCTTCGTTACTGCACAAAGCAGTTCTTCGTCAAGTCCCTCCCTCCCCGGCTGAGACAGGGCCCAGCAGCTCGCAGGTCCTCACCTGAGCTGTGGCTGGAGCTCTCCGCCCTCTGCAAAGGGTCAGCCGCCAGCTCCTCAGCAGGGTTCCTGCTGCTGTCCTGAGGAGGGGGCTCCTTTCTGAAAAGAGATAAGCCCATGCTCAGATTTCCTGCCAGCAGAAAGTGCCTCAGGCAAAAGAGGCCGCTTCCACCGGAGGGCAGACAGGCTAGAAGCAGGGAGGGCAGGTGAAGCTGAAGCTGGAATTTCATGCTGAGGAGCCAGACCAAATATTAAAGGGAAGCAAAGACTTCCACATGCGTCTGGAGGAAGGAGGGTGAGTCTGACTGGGGAGAGCTGAGGGGCCTGTGCTGGGCTCTGTCACACGGACACATGGACACATGCAGTGCTCCGTGCATTCCTGGGAGTGTTGGGCAGGGACTCTGTGCTGGGCTGTCACACAGACACATGGACACATGCAGTGCTCCGTGCATTCCTGGGAGCGTCGGGCAGGGACTCTGTGCTGGCCACATCATATGGACACATGCAGTGTCCCATGCATTCCTGTGAGTGTTGGGCAGGGACTCTGTGCTGGGCTCTGTCACACGGACACATGGACACATGCAGTGCCCCATGCATTCCTGGAGGAGTGTCAGGCAGGGACTCTCTGGGCAAAGACCACTTGAGAAAGGCAAACTCCGGGCCTCCTGGCAGGATGGACCCCAAGCTAGGGCAGCCAGTGTCTGGCAGAAGAAGGGAGGAGCATGGTGGGACACAGCTCAGGGAGGCTTGGGGAAGTATGCAACCGAGTTGGGGAGGAGGAACAAGGAGGAACTAGAAGGAGCCGAGCTGTGCTGAGGCCTCTGGCGTTGCCGCAGAACACGCAGGGCAGAGCCTGGGGACGCGCTGCTCTGGACGCTGGAGGGGCTGCTCTGTGATGTCAGGTGGGGAGGTATCACGAGCTGCACCTGCAGCCTTCCTGAGTGGTCTGGACCTTATGCTCTAAGTCCATATTTTTTAAAATTCTCCATGAGTGACCTGGAGCCCTGGTGGCACAGTAGTTAGGAGTTGGGCTGCTAACCAAAAGGTCGGCAATTTGAATCCACCAGCCACTCCTTGGAAACCCTATGGGGCAGCTGTACTCTGTCCTATAGGGTCACTGTGAGTGATGTGGGGAGGTGGCAGGGGCATGTGACGCTGGGGTGCCTCAGTGCTGGATCCTCTCAGAACACAAAGTTTACTTGAGTATTTGAAGGGGGAAAATATTTTGAATTTTTGCCTCTTAAAAGGATTTACTGCATGCAGAAGCAAGCAGGAACTCACCAGCTTAACTGTCTTTCTTTGGGAGTGGGAGAGCAGGTAAAAATTCATTAACAACAAGGCAGGTGGAAAATGATTTCATCTTGATTGACACAGTCTTCTGATATTAAAATAAAACATTACAGAGTTGTAGGAGGCTAAATGTGTGTGAATTTTTAAGATAAAGCAGGAGATGCCAAGAAATTTTAGGCTTGCAGAGGGTGTTTGGACCGCCAGTAATACGGTCTTCTCTCCTTGCAGGCAAGGTACATTTTCGAGAGACATGACTGGAAGTGATGGGAGCCTGGGATGCTCTGGAAAGGGAGTGAGGAGATGTGGCTGTAGTCTAGAAAGATCACTCAGGCGCATGCTGGTGTGGATGTGACCTGGGAGACTGATGTTGAGGCAAAGACACACCCTAAACAGCAGACTCAGGTGGGACACATGTCCCTGGGGCTGCCTGGCCCAGCCTGTCCAAGCCCGGCACTCACTGGTCACAGGTGGGCTGCCCAGACGTCCACGCAGTGACGGGGAGGTGCAGACGCTCTCTGTCATCCTGTATTTGGAGCCGGATGGGCCGCCTCAGCCCCCAGGAGATGTTGAGGAGCCCCTCGATGATCAGAGCCCCTTCTTCCTGTGGAGTACACACAAGGTCAGCCTCTTCCCCTGAGCAGCAGTCCTCAGGGGTCACTGTCCACCCTCCCTGTGCCCCCTCAGGGCTAAGCCCCTCATCCTCAGGATGCCCTGGACGTTCAGGTCCCCAGCCACAACCCCCCAGGCTCAGGGTCACCGCGTGGGCCTCTACGTGCTCCCTAGCATGGGCTGCAGGTCCTGAGGAGGAAACCCGAGGTGAACACTTCCGCAGCTTGGCCTGGCTAGAGGTGCAGCCTGGGGACAGCACAGGGAAGCCTGGTTCCCACAGGAACCCAGGGCTGTCAGGAGGCACGCCCACACCACGGAGAGGAAACATGCTCCAGGCGTGTGCAGGGGAAGCTCTCTGGCTACCACATGGCCTGGCTTGGGGGTCCTGTGACCACCAAGGGTGCTGGACATGGTGACCACGAGGGCAGAGCTATCATTTCAGCCCCACACTGCCCCCTAACACTGTTGGTGATTATGACCTCCTGTGGGGGCTTGGCTGTCTCCCAGTTCTCTAAGCTGCCTTCCTTTCTGAGGGTCACTCTTGTTGACGTCTTAGCCACGTGCCCCACCACTGATGCGCACCCTCAGAACATCCAGAGCCATCCTCATTCACATCTCCAGCCAGCCTTGGTTCCCAGGTCTGCAGGTGGCGCCATCATGCCCCCTGCCACCAAACCCTGAGGTCCTAATTGGCCCTGTCCCCCTGATGCACCCTGGGCCTCACCCCAGCTTATTTCTTGGACCTCATACAGGCTTGTCTACAGTGTCCCCCTCCAGGGTCTTTGCCGCAGCTCCTCCCCCAGGGCCTGGCCAGGCTGCTTCCCTGCACCCTCAGGGCCTCATGACAGGCACCTGCCACCCTAGCCCTCTCCCCACAGCCCTGCTGCTCCTGCTCTGGCTACGACTCCGAATTCCTAATCTCCTTTCAAACTAGTCTCTTGGCAGTTAACTGCAGATGTCATTTTTCATTGCTATCTAGAGCAACATCTGGGATTCACAGACTCCAGCTTTTTCTCCTCATTGGCACGGAAAGCCCTGTGGGAAATTGTGGGGAACAACTTTCTATACCTGGTAGCACTCACAGGGGTGTCCTGGGCAGTGTCAATGTGATGTTTAATTAGTAATAGTCTAAAAAAAAACAAACGCATTGCCATCGAGTTGATTCTGACTCCTAGCGACCCTACAGGACAGAGCAGAACTACCCCATACAGTTTCCAAGGAGTGCCTGGTGGATTCGAACTGATGACCTCTTGGTTAGGAGCTGGAGCACTTAACCACTACATCACCAGGTTTTCTAATAGTCTAAAGTACCCTGTTAATCCACAGAGAAGAACATTCTAATCTGTGTAAACCTGTTGCCATTGAGGCGATTCTGACTCATAGCGACCCTATAGGAGAGAGTGGAACTGCCCTATAGGGTTTCCAAGGACCGGTTGGTTGATACAAACTGCCGACCTTTTGGTTAGCAGCCAAACTCTTAATCACTGATCTGTCTACGGTTGTCAAAAACACACAACATTTTCTGATATTGCCTTGCTCTATTTGCATAAAAAAAGAGGTATTTTTGATAACCATTGATACTGACACAGGCAGCAAATACGTAACTAACCATTAGGTATTTTAAGCTCATCCCTCCAAAGGAAAGGCGAGTATTGCTCTCTTAGAGGTAAAGGGCCTGTAGGAAAATCAAGAAAACCTAAAGTGGGGTTCAGTTGTTCATTTCCTGTCTTGGCCCTAGGTGCCTCTGTCACATGTCAGCACGTCCCTGGGGAGAGCACCCACCCTCAGAAGACTTTGGCCTGTAGGGACAGCTGGTTCATGGAAATCACCACCACCAGCCCTCCCTGGACCCTGGGGGAGGGATGTGAAGCAGACACAGCCCAGCCATGTGGGGCTCACACTCCAGTTGCACAAGGGGGCACAAGGTGGGGTATGAGGTAGCTTCCATGCCAGCAGGGGATGCCCCATTCCCTGGAAGGCATGACCTCTGCTAAGCAGTTCAGATAGGGCACTCTCAGCTGGAAGTGAGAGAGAAGGTGCTTTCAGGACTAGGCCCTGGAAGATGATATAAAGATGCACAGATGGTGATGGGGGGAGGGTGTGTGGGACCTGCTTGAGCAAATGCAGAGGCAGGAAAGGGATGTGTGCTCAAGAGCAGGTCAGTCAGTCTGGAGAGAGTCACAGGAGAACTCAAAAGCCAGAGGGAGTTACCTCCTTGGCAGGACCTAACTGCCAGCAGAGAAATGGCATTTTGTTCTATAGACAGAAGAGACCCTGGACACTCCCAGGAGGGGAGGGGGGTCTAATATGGCAGTGGGGTGAAGAACAATCTGGAAGAGAAGACAAAGACACGGAGAAATCCTGCAGGAAACCATTTAACCGTGGGACTGGGGGAGGGAGCTGCTGGGGAGGGGCAGTGGGGATGGACAGCTGAGGCTGGAGGGGTTCAGACTTCACAGACTCACAGGAAGACTGTGGACCTTGGCCATGCAGGGTGAGGCTGGGAGGAGCTGTTCTGGGGGACTGGGAGGGAGGTGCCTGGCAGAGCTGCTGGTCTTGGAGGTTGGTAGCTGGCTTGGCTGGGGATGGGCTGGCCCAAAGTCACTCAGGCCTGGTATCCCTGCACAGACAGCGTGTAAGTCCCCACAGTGACACCCAGCACTGTCCCACCCTCCCCTCTGCTTAGCCCACCCAAATGGAGGGGGCCCCCACAGCCTACAGCTTTCTCTGGTCAAACAAGAGGAGAGCTGAGGTCTGAGCAGAGGGCCTCTGAGGCTGTTGGTAGCCCCTCACCCACAGGTGTGGAAGGAGCTCAGGCAGAGGCAGAATCCACCCTTAGGGGCAGTAGGTGTCAGGACGAGAACCTGGGTCTCCTGGCCACCGGTGGTGGGATAGCCAACCCACAGGGGTCTCAAACCTCTACCAAAGTTGGAGATTAATTCTGGACCCTCTCAATTTCCTGTCAAACCAAACCCTTCTCTACTCAGTTCAGGCTATTAACTGATGTACTAATTGCTAATACAATCAAGACAGCCAGAGACAGACAAAGGCTCCACAGAAGCATCTAGTTATAAGAGCCGTTAGGGTCTAGCTGAACTCCTGATCCCCATCTCAGCCACCTTCCCTGGCCCATGCTTTCGTTCAGAGTGGAACACCCCACCCAAAATGCATGAGCTTCTGATCCGGCACCCCCCCTTGCCTGGGGGTCCTGGGTCTGTCCAACAATCCCACAGGTAGGCCTGGGCTCTCACCTCACTGGCTGTTCTCTCTCCAGCCTGCAGGATGCAGGTAGGAGGGTTCCAGGTAGGTCTGAGCTGGGGCCCAGGATCTACCCTGTCTGAGAAGCAGGCGGTTCCGGCTTTTTTCAATGAGCTTTCCCATGTGCTGCCCACCTTGTCCTCAGGGCCACTGTATGGCCACTCCTGGACATCGGCAACGGCCTCCTGATGCTTCCTAGGTGACCCTGGCTCCCGTTAGCCACCCCCTTAACCCACGTACAGCAGCCAGAATGAGTCATAGAAACAGAAGCCAGGTTTAGTCCCCTTGTACAAACACTTCGTGGCCTTCTGTCTTGACCAGCGGGAAGCCCAGAGTCCATGCTGAGGCCCAGTGCTCCCTGGCCTCCTCCCGCATGGTTTGGGCACATAGGTCCTCTGCTGGTCCTGGAGCACGTCCAGCACACCCTTGTCATGTGCTGCTTCCTCTGCCTGGACCGTGTACCCCACCCCTAGATTTTCACTTGGTTCTCTGTCACCACTCAGATCTCTGCTCCAATGTCCCTGCCCCAGAGGACACAGCTGACCATCTGCTGCTCTCTGTCCACTCCCTACTTTACTCTTCTCTGCAGCTATCATTGTTACCTTCACAGTGACTCCATTCCTGCTGTGTGCCCTGAACACACCAGTTGTACAAGAATACTTGTTAGATAGCTGTTGACCCTGGGGACAGGCAAATTCCTGCTTTAAAGCACACAGCTGGTAAGGGGCAATGGCAGGTCCTGGCAGGCTGCCCTGTTCCCAGTCCTCAGGGCCTTGGCTGCCTCCAGGCTGGGGGCCGCACCGCAGGATCCCACCAGTCACTGAGGGTGTGCCCAGACTGCACAGGTGCGGACCAGTGAGCAGGGACACGAGGCTGTGTCACTACAGTGGGAAACAAGTCTAGGTGGAGGTGGTGGTGGCAGAGCCCTTGGGGGATGGCCGCTGGAGCCCCCACCCCTCTAGCAGCCCAGCAGTGGCCAGGGAGGCTGCCCGCCCCCGCCCCAGGCCCCAGGCTGAACAACCGCGGGCCTCCCACAGCTGCAGTCACAGGCTCTAGGCCCTGGGCCAGGCCCCACCCCAGGCTGTTTTCCTCAGAGCCTTCCTGAGTGGCTATTTTTGGCCCTCCAGGCAGTTCCTGATGACTGGGAAGGTATAAAAGCAGCCACCAGGCTGATGAGGCTCGTCAGACACCTGGTTCATCTAGACACGGAGTCCTCGCCTTCCTCATCCCCGGACCGACACCGGACCCCAGCCCTAGGCCCAGAGTGTCCTGGGAGCTACCCTGACTTCCTGCTGCCCCAAGCCCCCTCAGCTACAGGTAAGAGCACAACTGCCTTCTGGTTGGAAGTAAGAGAAAAGGGCTCTGCTTTGTCTTGGGGGGAGTTCTCAGCCTGGGGCCCGAGCAGCCTGACTGCGAGTTAGAGACCAGTGACGCCCAGATACTGAGAGCAACGGGGGCGGCTGCAGAGTACCTGGCAGTTCACTTGAAGTCTGCGGAGGGGCTTCTCAGGGGGCAGCGTTTCACGTTGCTCACAACAAGCCTGCGAGGCAGCTGTTTACGCCCTGTGTTATGGATGAGTCACAGGCTTAGAGGCGAGGGTTTCACCAAGGGTCGCAAGGTCAACAGGTGGCAAGTCCTAGATCTAAACCCAGGTTTCCTGGGACCCGAGTCTACTAGGCTAGGTGTTCTTATTTGTACACATCTTAAACAACAGTAATAATAAAGTTTTCAGCCTGTGGGTTTTTCATGTCAACAGGAAGACAGAGCTCAGGAGTACACACCCAGCACAGGTGTGGCCACACACCTGTTCCCAATCCTCAGACTTTAGATGGCCCTCATACCACAGCCTGTCTGCCTTGCCCGTGCCGGGCAGACGTGCGCTTGGCAGTTCCTGCGGGTAGTCTCAGATGAGCATCTGAGTTGGGGGGATGAGAGAGGGGCGTCAGGACGGCCACACAGCCCCTCACCACCCCTCCACTTTGGCCCACAGGCTGCTCATCTGTCCCTGGCCAGGAGCGATGCGGTCCCGCCTTCTCATCTCTGTGGCCCTCCTGCCCACAATTCTGGAAACCTCAGAGGAGGGGCTGTCCAGGGGGCCTGTGCAGGAGTCCCCACCCTCCCCCAGCCTGGACGACTACGTGAGGTCCATCTGTCAGCTGGCACAGCCTGCCTCTGCGCTGAACGAGGCCTCTGCCGGGCAGAGACCCAGCAGACTGCACCGGTCAGCCAGGGCCTGTGAGAGGAGACACACTGCCATGTCCCCACAGGACGTCACGACCTGCTTCAGCAGCCAGGGGCCCCTCCTTCCCGGGGCCGGCACTGCTGACCCCCTGGACTGGCTCTTTGGGGAGTCCCAGGAAACCCCGTCCAGCAGGAAGGACTTGATGAGGAGGACGGGCACCTCTGCTGACTCCTGGGGTCTGCACAGACAGATGGACACTGGCGAGGCCAGGAGTGGCCCCAGAGCGAGGTTCTGTGATGCCAGGGGCCCTGGGCACTCTCTCTTGAGGCTGTCACAGGGCGGGCATCTGAGCTCCAACCGGGACTCCAGGCAGCCCTGCCCCAATGACAGCATCCTCAGAGCCCTCCACTCGGACCTCCCGGTGATTCATGAACTCTGACCCTCCCAATAAAGGCTTCTTCTGTAAGGAGCATGCCTGGTCCCTGCATCAGCCTCCTTCCTGGGTGTCCCTCCCCTTCCTCTGCTCCCTCCCCTCGGCACACTGTCTCTGGCAGGTCTCTGGTTACAGGGCTGCCTGCTTGGACAATTCAGAGTCAGACCTCTGTGCTGGCTGATCACCTTGAGCTAGCAGCTCAGTTCCTCAGTTTTCTCATGGGTAAAACTGGGATAACTCACAGTGCCCACCTCTCTGGTGTTCTGTGCACACACGTGCACACAGTGTGGGGTGCACATGATGAGCCCATGCATGGGGAAGCTGTTGTGATCACTTCACAGGCAGAGGTGGGGCGGAAGACAAGGTGTCTGCACACCAGAGGGCTCCGAGTGGGGTCCCGGACACTGCCAGGACAGGCTCTGCACCGCATCCCCCACCAGTGTTCCAAGAGGCCCGAGAGAAGCACAGGGACTCAGCATGGCTGCTGCTGAGTTCCAGGGTGAGCCTTCCTCCTGCTGTCCACCAAGAGACCCCCCAGTGCTGAGCAAGTATGGGGCTGGCATACAAGGACAGAATTCTGCACCTGCTTAGGCCACAGGGCCCCAAAATTCTGGACCAGGGGCTGTCCTCATCCCTTCTCCAAGACCTCCACCCAGGGGCCCCTCGGCAAGGCCAGGCCACTTCGGGGAGGGGGCAGGGCACTGTCCAACATTCCTTGCACATCAGACAAGCCAGGGGCCTGGGCCTCACTCCACATGCCCTAAGGCCCAGGCCAGGTGCAGCCTTAGCAACTGGGCTTGAGCTAAGCTAGCCTGGGCTGGCCCTGGGCCCCATGGCTGTGTGGGCCCCGCTTCCTGGGGCAGTCTGGCAAGTGTGAGGGTGGGGGTGGGGGGCGTGGGAGAGGGAGGATTTCCTCCCCCAGAGAGCCTGGGGCAGCCTCAGAGAACTGAAAGGAGTCAGGCCTCGGGACCCCTCAAACACCCTGCTCCCTTGAGCTGGGCCGGAGCTGGCTGACCCTGGTGAGGGAGGAAGGCCCAGAGCAGGCAGTGCACAGAGAGGGGAGGAGGACAGAGGTGGGGGCTGGAGCCCAGCTCCACTGCAGAGCCTCCTCTCTCCTCCTCGCTCTGTGTACTGCCAATCCTTTTTTTTTGCTACTTTAAATTGCTTTAAAAAAAACCAAACCGGGTGCCGTCAAGTCGATTCCAACTCACAGTGAACCCTACAGGACAGAGTAGAACTCCCCCACAGGGTTTCCAAGGAGCGGCTGGTAGATTTGAAGTGCCGACCTTTTGGTTAGCAGCCAGGCTCTTAACCACTGCACCACCAGGGCTCCAACTATTGGCCCTTAAATTGCTTTCGGCATTTTAAATGCTTCTCTGTCCTCTTTTATGTGTGCTTTGTGGAAAGGCAGAATGTAAATCACACATTAAAAAGAAAGTTTCAGACAAGTAATTTACTCAGTTCCCTCACCTGTAAAGTGGGGATACCCCCCCCACCTTTATATCCTGTAGGGGTCAGGGGGGAGACTGGACAAGTGACCTTGGAGGTGCAGTTCCAACCTCTATATACAAATATTCATGTGTGTCACAATCTACTGCGTCTTTTGGTCAGCTCAGCCTGGAGGTCCCACTTCTGCAGATGCACTGGGCAGCTGAAGCCAGAGTGTCCTCAGGAGGTGATGGGGAGGGCTGGCCTGGTGAAGCGAGCGAGTGACTGGCGAACCTGGTCTGGCCAGATGCTGGGCCTGGTCAGCCTCGCTTCAGCTCTTTTGAGAACAAACAGCAGGAAGGAAACCTAGTGTCACAGGGGGCCAACTAGCAACCCAGATAGTATCAGCCAATGCCCCCCATGCTGAGAAGCCCTGCTGCCACATCTGGGAAGGTCAGATGGGTCGGGGGAGAACACTCCTGTGCTCTGGGCTCCTCTGCTCATATCCCCAGAGGTGAAGGAAGTTAACGGGACCTTCAGAAGGCAGGGCCCCAAGCTCTTGTTTCCCTTCACTCTAGGTCCTCCTGGTGAAGGCCCCTGTGGATGTCACATTCATCCTCCGCTCACTGCTGCAGAATGGCAAGGTGACAGATGCTGCTCCCAGGGGAGCAGGCTGGGGCCCCCGTGGGTCCCAGGGTATGGCTGTCTGGAGGGCTGAGTCAGGCCTTATAAGAGGGGACAGAGAAGTTCTCCGGGGGAAGAGGACCCTGACTTTCCGCACTCCTGGGAGAGACAAAGCTGGGCTGAGGCAGAGACTCTGGGAAGGGGTTTGGGGCTAAGCAGAGGGCTGGGTGCAGTGCACACCATGGCCACCAGGGGAGGCTCTGAGCACACCGAGTGTTGACATGCACAGGGTGGGAGGCCGGCTATCCTGCAGGTATCCCCAGGGTAAGGTTTACAATACAAGTAGCTAGAGTCTCAGCCTGCCCTAGGGGGGAATCCCTCCCTTCAATCCTTGGAAGCTGGGAGAGAAACACTACCCCCAGGGTGTGGCCCTGGCCCCCACCCCCTGACACACTTAGTCTCTCCAGGCTCTGTGGACACCAGATAGACAATGGATGAGAAGGTGCCACCAACCGTAGGGCTCAAGGATGCAGCCGAGAGCAGAGAGAGCTTGTCCCTCCAGGGTTCTGTTAGGGGACCCCCCAGGTGGAGCCCACAGCAGCCTGAGGGCACCTTAGCTTGGAGACTGCAGTACCACTCCCGTCTCTGGACCTCTTCACTGCTACTCAGCTGAGACCTCTAAAGGTTAGGGCTAGAAATGCTGTGGCTGTGTTATAAGATGCAGGCATCTTTCACTTCCTGCAATGTGACCTGGGACTAGTTACTCTGAGAGCCTCAATTTCTTTGTAAAATGGCAACAGTCATGTCTATACTGCAAGGCTATTAGGAGTATTAAAATAAATAAGATTAGAGGCCAAGTGTCTGGTGCATTGCAGGTGCTGGGGCTCATGGGGTGGGGATTGTAAATTTCTCCTGCCTGCCCAGCTGCTCCATCTGCAGCAAGTGCCTGATACTGCAAAGCCCTCTGCCCAGGAGGTTCCAGGCCTGCAATCAAGAAACTGCTGAGGTTCCCACACTGGGTGGTGTGCGGGTCACGGGGCCCTACTGAGACCCTGAGGGACATGACAGCCCTGAGAACCCATCGTGCATACGTTATCAGAAGTGTGCCTCCCAGACCTAGAGACTGGGAAAAAATTGTTGGCTATGACAAATACGATCAGCCAAATATGTCTAATTTCTAAAATCTACAAGATACTGCAAAACCTCAACAACAAAGAGACAACCCAATTAAAAAATGGGCAAAGGAT